GAGTGAAGATGTTGTGTGAGCTTGATGAGACATGTCAGATTCTGAGTCATCCAGGTCATGGTTGTCGCACAGGTGCTTTTTCTTTGTTTTTGCCTCAAGACGTTTCTCTTCCCATCCAAGAATCTTCTTCAGATCTTCTCATGTTCTCTTCATCCAAAAAACATCTTCAGTTCTCTTCATGAACTGAAAAAAAAACCCCCACATATTGGATGGGAAGTGAAACGTCTGCAAGCAAAAACAAAGAAAGTCCAGTTGCTTTTTGAAAAAGCACCTTTGGGGCTTGATGAGATACACCATAATTTGTCCATGTTGCTGCATTCTGGATTTCACTCTAGAGTTTCCAAGTGCTTCTCAAGGACAACTTCATGTAGCTCATTGCTTCGTTAGTTGTGCTTCTGTCTAAACCTCTGAACATACAGAGGTTCTGTCAATATTCATTCAATCCAAGGGCCTTATTGTTAAAAGAATCTAGTCCATCATGGCACACAAGCAGAGCTGAATATCAAATTAGAGTCTGGAAGGGAATACACATCATCTTTGGTGCTGTTCTTTGGAATACTGAAGCTGAGTAATGCATGTGCAGAATTCATGAAATGTTCCTCTCATCCATTGGCCCATCTTCCATGGTAACCTCACTCCATCCTTGCATTTTCATTTTAACCCCATCTAGGCTGGGATAGAGACATGTGCTTGCCACATTTGGATCTTGGCCACTGTTTCAGCAGATGTAAAGAGCAATGCGTCACGGAAGGGTTGTGGTGAAGACAGCAAAGATCTCAGTAGAGTAGAAGGGATTTCGTGCAATGCTTAACAAACAACACTGTGCTAGGCCTATTTATTTCTGATCAGAATTCAGGTGTTGGTTTCTTAGTGGATTGAGAGAAGAGTACTTTACATATTCCTTTCTTGCACACCTGCTCATTCTTTAGGATCTGCTCCAGAGATTCTTTTCGTCTTAAGAAACACAAAATATTGGCAAGAAGCTATGTTGTGTTTCCTGAAAGGATAATGGTGGCCTCTTCTTTTTTTAAATTTTCAAGAGAGCCACAAAATCTTCGGTTGTGCTTGGTTTCTGCTGTTTTCTCTCTTATGCCCTTCCTTTTGCACTTTGCAACATTTGAAAGCTTGCAAACTGCCCCTTTGTTCCCAAATGTGTCTTTCTGAGTGTCAGAAAATGGAGTTAGGATAATTTCACAACCAGATAAAATGAACTGACAAAGAGCCAGATGGACTCAGAGAAACTAAAATAACATCAAGGTCTAACATTTTAGGGGGAGAGAAGGCAGCATACATCCAGAATCTCTTTGGTTTCTGATGCCACCATCTCTGCACCATCTACCCAGAGGGCTATTTAAGGCTTATCAAATCATATATCTGCCAGGCACTTCCACCCACTTGTACTCAGATGAATGCACCAAAAACTACCAATGGTTTATTTTAGCTTTTGCATCTCTTATTAGCAACGGTGAGTATCGCAGGAAAGAAAAATACCAAACAGTTCAAAACAATTATTATCCACAACAGAACAGAATAACAGTGTTGGAAGGGACCTTGGGAACTCCTAGTCCAACCCCCTGCTGGAGACCCTATACCATTTCAGACAAATGACCATCTTTCTCTTCTTAAAAGCCTCCACTGTTGGAGCATCTACAACTTCTGGAGGCCAGTTGTTCCACTGGTTAATTGTTCTCACTGTCAGGAAATCTCTCCTTAGTTTCAGGTTGCTTCTCTCCTTGATTAGTTTCCATCCGATGTTTCTTGTCCTGCCTTCTGGTGCTTTGGAGAATAGGTTGACCCCCTCTTCTTTGTGGCAGCCCCTCAAATATTGGAACATTTCTATCATGTCACTTGTAGTCCTTTTTTCCATTAAATTGAAGGATTGTGAGTTCTAGTCCTGCTTTAACCATGAAAGCTGCCTTTGGTGACTCCTGAATCATCAGGAGACAGTGAGTTCTATTCTTGCTTTAGTCACGAAAGCCAGCTGGGTGATTTGAGGTCAGTCACCAGGTGACAGTGAGTTCTAGTCCCATCTTAGCCACAACAGTCAGTTGGGCCAATTTTGTCTCTCTCAGCCCAACTCACCTTGCAGAATCGCCATTATGGAGAAAATAAGAGGAAGAATGTGTGTAGGATATGTTCTCTGCCTTGAGTTATTTGTAAAAAAAATAAAGGCAGGACAAAAAGGAATAAAAACATGTCCAGTTTCATTTTGTGGGCTACATTAAGAACTTTGTGGTAGATGGTTGATGATTCCTGTTGCTTTAATAACCCAGAAAGATATTTCTTAGCATGTGGTAATGGGTGTGTGTAGATATGTGCACATGTAGGATGGGAGAGTAGATGAGTTGTTGCTGAATTATATGATAATTCATCTCACAAAATGAATAATTATTCCCGCATCCTTTATCGGGTTTTTCCAGTTTTTAATGAAGATAATCAACATGTTAGGACAAGAACATATCATCGTTTCTAAAGTTCAACTTTGAACAATTTTTGCAACTTCATAGTAAGGGAAAAAAGACTGAAAAAGATTATTTTACTTAGTGTGACTTTTTATAAAATGGGGCCAATTATTTAAAATTAGGTTGAAGGAAATCTCATGAGCCATCTGTCTAAATTGTAGCAGCTGATGCATTTTCATTTGACTTTTTAAAAGAATTTAGTAAAATTCTCACCTAATTAGCCTCCCTAAACTTCGACACAGTAGATTGATTTGGCATTTCCACTTTTACTTCATCCTCTTTGAGTAGTTAAATAGAATCCAAAGGATGGTTTCATTCTGAAAACCAGGATATTGGCTAACAATCATCTCAAACCCCTCATCAGTTTTTCTGCATTTTCTGAAAAAGCATAAAATCCAGTGAGTGATAATACAAATTAAAAAGACACATTTTTCTCTCTTGAATATAGAACCTTTGCATTATCACGAAACACTATAAAAGTTTTCTGGTTATTCTCATCTTAGAACAGAAGTTTGGGAAGTTATGGTTTGTCCTTCTGTTCCTCTATAAACATCTGAGGATGTTAAGCAAAATATTCCATGTATACTTTTGAAAGCATGTACTGCTTACGTTAGTGTATCTGCTGTGTGGCCTATTGTTATATTCTGTTGCTATGAACTTATGGACTTTAGCAAGTGGCTAGGAGAGCATGTTCCATTGAAAAGTGCAGTTGCATTTAATATTACTTCCTGAAAAAAAGAAGGATGGTGCAATCCTATAGACTGAAAGGAAGCTCCTACTAGCAGTGATTTTCCCCCCTCAAAAAAAATCACCTCAGGCAAAAGATCGTCATAACTTTTTCCATTTCTCTGTCCATTGCATTTCTCCCAATCTTTGAATTCGGTGAACAAATGTGAGGTAGCACTAAAATCTTCATCTCATTAGAAAAGTTGATGGAGTTAGCAGAGATGGCCAAATTGACAGCTTTGATCAAAGAAAAAGCAACAATACGCAAACATTTTTGTTTCTCCTTGGAAACCGCTTCAGGACTTCATGCTTGAGGTGGGGAAAAATATATATGAAACTTTGACTTTGGGCTTTGCCGGTTAGATAGATTTGCTGTTATAGAAATGGGTAGTTTATACTATTATATAAAAGTAAAAAGTTGAGGTTTGATGTTACCATCTTATTCTACTGCACCAAGGGAATCGAAGTCAATGCCTTTCCTTTCTTTTTTCCCCTCTTCTTTTCTACACTTCTCCCTCCCCTATTTTTCTTACTATTTGCTTTTGCATTTTTGTATTTTATATTATAAACTAATAAAAACTGAGAAAATGTAAATGTTGTGGCCCACCAGTGGCCAGCAGAGCTGGGAGCAGACTCGGACAGTGAGGAGGTTGGGGAGGAACATGGGCCAGTCCTGGAGTCTGGAGAAGGCTCTGATGAGGGCTCAGCTGCCTTCATAGTCAGACATCATTGAGGCAGAAGAACAGCTGGAACCTGTTCCCAGTATGTGAATGCACACAGCTGCCAGGAGAAGGGAACAATTAAAGGAACAAGGGATGACTCAGGAGTAAAGGCTCAGGTGGACAGTGAATGGCCCCTCCCATAGGTAATAAAGCGGAGTGAAAGGGGAGTGGTGTTTGCAGGAGACAATTAGTTCGTTTAATTAGTGTGCAGACTTGTTCGTGACTCTCAGAGACTCCTTGCCAAGTATTTTCTGGTGCAGCATTGCGCTTGAAAGCTACTGGACTGGCAAACCTCCATGCCTGATAAGGTCTGTGGTTGAAATTCACCCTCAAAAAGACTGTTTGCCGGGACTTTGCTGGATGTAAATGATAGGAATTCACATTAGCCTAATAAAAAGGGGTTTTGTCATGATTTTGTGAAGCTTAGGTGAGAACAGCAAAGCCTTCATCTCACTAAGATTATCAGGCAGGTAAAGTCCACCCCCGCTTGATAAAATTGTAGTGGGGAGAGTGGGATGTCACAAAATACTCATTTCTCTAACAAGAAAGACCTGCTTTTAAAAAAAAAAGGATTGAACTGCTGGCAATGGGCAGAATTAGCCTGTAATAGTGCAATCTAACCACAGGGAGGGAGGGAGGGAAGGAAGGAAGGAAGGAAAGTAGCTATAGCACTTACATTTATATACCACTTCATAGGGCTTTACAACCCTCTCTAAGGGGTTTACAGAGTCAGCCTCTTGTCCCCAACAATCTGGGTCCTCACTTTACCGACCTCGGAAGGATGGAAGGCTGAGTCAACCTTGAACCAGTCAGGATCGAACTGCTGACAGTCGGCAGAATTAGCCTGCAATGCTGCATTCTAACCACTGTGCCATCCCGGCTCTTGTCGCTCTTGTACTACACCTGTAACCACTTCACAGTATACTGGATAGTTTAATTTGAATTCGCTAAGATTTGTACCTAAAACAAACTCCCATTTTGGGAGTTGTGCAACAGCCTTCTCAATTTCTTTTCGATGAAACTGTGAACGAAAAAAGAAATGTGATTGCTTATGTGTTTGAACTCATGAGTGACTTTTTTTATTTTGCAGCTGAATGGCATTAAAATGGTGGATGAACCTATGGAGGAAGGAGAACTATATTCCTGTAATGTAAGTACGTTTGGAATATTCCTCATGATAGGAACTACCGTTGAAGTCTTTCAAAAATAATTTTATATTATATGGTAAGCCTATTGGGATGTAGTCATCAAGGCATTAGATTAAAAACCAGGAAACTGTGAGTTCTAATCCCCTGGGTCAGTGGTCGCAAACCAGTGGGCTGGGGACCACTGGTGGTCCATGAGAAAATTTTGGTGGCTCACAGAGAAATGTCATCCCCAAAGCACCCCCCATAGCAATTAATCCAGGCTGCCCAGGAACACAAGGCTAACATCAGAACAAGGGGAGGGGGGAGGGGGGAACTTGCCCCACACGCCTCGCCTCGCCTGACCTGGCCATCGGGCTGCTGCTTTCTGCTTCTTTCTTTCTTCTGCTTTTGGCTGCATGGAAGGAAAGCAGCAAAAGTCTTTCTTTCTCTCCCCCAAACTCTGCCAGAAATGAGTCTTTGGGACCCTGCAAGGCATCCTGCTCCAAGAGGCTGCGCCAGCAAAGACTCATTTCTGGCGGAATTTGGGGGAGAGAAAGAAAGACTTCTGCTGCTTTCCTTGCATGAAGCCAAAAGTCTCTCTCCCCCCCCCTCCCGAGAACAGAGCTGGAGATGATATCCTGCGATCCCAAATAAAGAATGATCGATCGGTAGGAAAACGGGGTGGGGAATTTTCCTGCAGACTTTTTTCCTGCAGCCACCGTCAAGTCAAAATTCATATTAATGGTCCACGGGATTTAAAAGTATGAGTTTGGTGGTCCCTGAGGTCCAAAAGGTTGGTGACCCCTGCTCTGGGTGACCTTGGGCCGGTCATGTTTTTTCAGCCCTAGGAAAGAAGCAATGGTCAACCTCTTCTGGAAAAACTTGCCAAGAAACCTGCAGGGATTATTCAGACAGCCTATAAGAATTGGACAAGATTGAATGCAAGAAAACAAAATTATATGGTACCGGTGTAAAGAGGAGATGAAAGAAATTTTCCTTGCTTGTTCCATCAGGGAAAATTACTTTTTGGGCCACGCCGATGGAAAGTACATACAAAATTATTTGGTTTGCCTAGCTGTGCTTTTAAAATGATTACATATTTTCAATATGCAAGTCTGCATTAAAAAAAATAAAAATAAATCTAATTCTCTAAGAATTGCATCCAGAGCTCCTACTTGTTTGAAGCAGGAAAAAGTGGTAGCCAACAAAAAGTTTTAGTCTGAACATGCAACTGGATTTCCCCCCCCCCCCCCAAATGTCAAGGTTTTTTATTCAAAGGGGTAAAGATGCCCTTCAGTCAAACTTCATTCTTTGTGGTTGTATCCATGCAATTTTCTTGACATTCCAAAGAGAAGCGGTTTGCCATTGCCTTTTCCCAAGATTCTTTTTCTCTATTTTCCAGTCTAGCTGATTCCCTAGGAATTCCCATTTAATTCTCACAATCAAGTACTAACCAGGGCTGATGGCTTCTTAATTTCTGAGATCAGTTATGGTCTACTGAGTCCAGTGGTGGAAAACAACACTGAAAAACAAAGTTTTGCAAAAGTGTCTTGTTTGCAGAAATATTTCTCCTTTCTTGCTTGCAGAAAGTTGTGGGGAGGAATTGTGTTTGATACCTTATCAGCTGATTAGCCATGCTTCCAATGCACACAGTGTTCTAAGAAATTTGTACGGTGGCTAGTTACAGATATAGTTGAGAAAAATTTATTTATTTATTTTATTTTATTTATTTGATTTGCCAATTGTTTACAAGATAAAATAAAATAGTTCTCAGCTCAGAGAATTGAAAAACCCATTACAGCGGAAGGAAGGGTTCTCTTATGTGTCAAATTCATTATCAGAAATACCAAATTGTGTTCTGGTTGGTATATGGTTGGTGTTTTAATTCCATAGTAGTTGTTTAACATGGTGTTGCTTGCTCTGGTTTCATTTTGTCTCGGGGATATCATATCCATCCTTTTCCAATAGCTTGTATTTTTGCTTGCAAACTTAAGTAGGAAATGAGCTCCTTAAAATTATTTTGACAATGAAATGCTAATTCTGGATGACAATTACTCTATTTTATATTTCCCTGCTGATAGTAGAAGGTACAGATGTGATTACACACACATACACAAACACATGAAATATATATTTGTTTCAAAAGCTGGAAAAAAGAAAAAAGAATCCACAAGAGATGTGGAAATTCTCCACGGATTCTAATGCTTATCCTGGAAGAATGTTTCCCACTCATTCCCAACAAATTACATTGTCCTTAACATCAGAACTAGTATCCTAACCATATATTAGTCCGTCTCATCAGTAAATGCGTTGGCTGCTAATTAAAGGGAAGTTATTGGCCAAGGAACTTTATTTGTTCTATGTTTTGTGTTATTCCAGAAATTGCTACTCATAGGATTGGTTCCATGTAAATTAGAACTGATAAAACGCTTAATCTAGGAGATAACATTTTTTTTTTCTTATTAGACAAGATTATTTTTAAATATTAGCAGCCCAAAGTCTGGGAGCTGGAAAATATAATAACTTTGTCATATGGTAATGTGTATTTCAAATCTGGATGGTTCATTTCCTACAAATTAAAGAATGTGTTGTATATTGGTTGGTAAGGTTCTAGTTGGTTTTGGAAATATTTAAACATTTTGAAATGATAACTGCAGTAATCATTAATAAATATTAAGACTAGATTTAAGTAAAGTGGAAGCTTACTAATATTTATAACATTAATTAACACTTACTGCTAATTACTGATGTTCAGTGGTTTGGATGAAATCAGATAAATTTGCTGGAGATAGTATAATAGCTTTAAAATACAGTTTGCTGGTATTATAACTTTCTTGTAATGCTGTATTAATAATGCAGTAAAATAATAGAATACAATAAGAAGGTTTTACTGCATT